TGGTGGTGGTTGGGCTGATGGCTGATTGGGTATAGACGTATGTTGCGCGGATCAATGAGGTCAATTCTACTCTTCGTGCGATCCTGGAGGTTAACCCGGATGCATTGCATGACGCCGAGGTGTTGGATGGGGAGAGACAGGATGGTTCTAGTCGGGGGTAAGTATAGTACCGATCTGAGTTAGACTTCTTGACTGTCATGTGCTGATGACTGGCTTAGAGAGTTGCATGGTATGCCGATTCTGGTCAAGGATAATATTGGAACGGTGGGTAGGATGCAGACGACAGGTATGTACATGCATATCTTCTCTGGTTTATACTGGTAGTGCCCCTCACTGTTGAGTACGCTCGGCTGATGTGTGTTTGTGTTTAAGCCGGCTCTTACTCGCTCTATGGTTCTCGCGTACGTGAGGATGCCACTGTTGTGAGGAGACTCAAGGATTCTGGGGCCATCATCCTCGGAAAGACGAGTATGTCGGAGTGGATGAATTTCCGTTCGTCGAATACATCCAGTGGCTGGAGTCCTAGGGGTGGGCAAACCCTGGGTGCTTATCATCCGATGCAGGACCCTGAAGGAAGCTCAAGTGGTAGCGCCGTGGCTGTTGATCTCGGACTGGCTGTAGCAGCGCTTGGAACGGAAGTAAGTGGCAGCGTACTGTGTTGCATGTAGGCCCATCATATGCTAACACAGGAGTCTAGACAATGGGAAGCATACTATTTCCCAGCGAGGTCAACAACATTGTCGGACTCAAACCAACAGTCGGCCTTACTTCACGCTACGGCGTCATCCCTGTTAGCGAGCGCCAAGACACCATTGGCCCGATGGCTCGAACTGTCAGAGATGCGGCGTGGGTTCTGGAGGCCATCGCAGGTAGAGATGAGAGGGATAACTACACACTTGCCTCACCTGACCCACCTGTCCCCTCCTATGCTGATGCCTGCCAGTTGGACGGACTACAAGGGAAGAGGATTGGTATCCCACGGAATGTCCTAGCCTCCTTAGCTATGGAATCACAGGGCCCGGAAATTCTCTCCGCATTCGAAGCCGCCATAGCTACACTCACTAAGGCGGGTGCTACTATTGTGCAAGACGCGAACTTCACAGCTTGGGAGGAGTTTGCCAAGAGCAAGAGTGTAGTACAGGTTCTTGATGCCGATTTCATCTCCAATATCCAGAGTTATCTCTCTAAGCTGGAGGCCAATCCGAATAGCATACACACCATACAGGATATCATCAAATACACACAGAGTGACCTACGAGAGGACTACCCAAGGCGTGACACGGCCCGGTGGGATACAGCACTCGCCGTCGGAATCAACAACACGTCTCCGGAATTCTGGCCAATGTACCAAAATAATCTCCGCATAGGAGGCGAAGGAGGCGTGCTGGGGGCTCTTACGCGCCACAAGCTCGATGCTCTCATTCTTCCTACATCACTGGCTGCCTACATCCCATCAGTCGTCGGTACACCGGTCATCACAGTCCCGCTTGGAGCATACCCGAATGGGACGGAAACCGTATACAACAAGTTCGGCAATCTGGTTCAGGTTGCCGAGAATATTCCTTTCGGGATAAGCTTTATGGGGGCACACTGGAGTGAGAGGACGCTGATAGGCATGGCTTATGCTTTTGAGCAACGAACCCTATTCAGACAGAAGCTCAAGCGCTATATTGAGCCACATACCGAGATTGCGGGGCAACTAGAGGGCGGGGACGATGGAGTGCAGACATAAAGCTACTTTCACATTAGATTATGGGTCTATCAAGTAAATGACAGTTGATTTAAGCTCTTAAGCTCATTTTAGTTCGAATGCTTTCGTTGGATGCTCCAAGTAAACTCGGAAAAACCACCGAAATCTCAAGATGGTACTACTACCTGAATAGGTTTAGTCTCAGATGGCCGAGATCCGATAAGAGCAGCTGAGAATCTTCGCGCGGGGTTCATCTTCCGCCCTTTTTATTCTGCGATTGAAGGCGGAACTGCCTATGCACTTCTTATAACCCGTTGACCCCTCTATCGCTGAGCAATGGGAGACATCGAAGATACTTGCGCCTCCTTGCGCGCTCAGATCGCCGCCACTGAAGCACAGCTAGCTGGGCTGAAACGCGAACTCGAGAGTGCAGAGCAAGCGGCTATTAAAGCCAGGGCGCAGGACGTCCCAAACCCTTCCGCTACGACCAGCACCCAGAGCAATGACAAGAGAAAGTGGCCGCTCTTGGACGAGGAATATCGACGTTATGGAAGACAGATGATTGTGCCGCAGGTGGGGTTACAGGGTGAGTGGATTTCTCGTCAAAACCAAAGTCTCTTGAGGTGCAATTGCTAAAGACTATTGTTCAATGCTGCAGGTCAACTGAAACTTCGATCTGCAAAGGTCTTGATTGTTGGAGCGGGCGGCTTGGGATGTCCGGCTGCGCAGTACCTCGCCGGGGCCGGGGTGGGCACACTGGGACTTGTGGATGGGGATACGGTGGAATCTTCGAACCTTCATCGGCAGGTGCTCCATCGGACCAAGAATGTCGGAAAGTTCAAGGTGGATAGTGCGATTGAGTCTTTGCGCGAGTGAGTTTTGTCTGTGGACCCGCGTTTCAGTGTGGACGCTAACAAGTGACTTGCTCTTAGTTTGAACCCTCACCCGACTTACATAGCGCACCGAGCGCATCTAGCGCCCCAAGACGCGGCGGACATTTTCAAAAACTACGACCTCATCCTCGACTGTACGGATAACCCCGCGACGCGTTATCTGATCTCGGATACGGCGGTTCTGCTTGGGAAGCCGTTGGTTTCGGCTTCTGCTCTGCGGACAGAGGGCCAGCTTATGGTGCTGAATAACCCTCCCCGACCGGTAGGAGATAAGACTGGGGGCCCATGCTATCGATGCGTTTTTCCTCGGCCGCCTCCGGCAAATAGTATCCTGAGCTGTGCGGACGGTGGCATTCTTGGTCCGGTTGTCGGTACAATGGGAGTACTGCAGGCGTTAGAGGCGATCAAGGTGATTACAGCTGCAGACGAGGATGTTAAGCCGCCATCACTACATATCTTTTCGGCCTATTCGTCCCCGTTGTTCCGAACGATTAAACTGCGTTCGCGCCGACCAAATTGTGCGGTGTGCTCTGCGGAGGCTAGCGTGACGTTGGAAACTGTCAAAACAGGGTCGACCGACTATGTTTTCTTCTGTGGAAGTGTCGGCCCAGAGAAGCTGTTGCTCCCGGAAGAGCGCATCTCGCCGCGGGAATATCGGACGAAGCATCCGCTGGCAGACTCCACTGAGGCCATCGGAACGGTTACCAAGGGGCCCACGATCATTGATGTTCGGGAGAAGGTTCAATTCGACATCTGCAGCTTGGAAAATAGTATCAATATCCCCATTTCGTCCATCTTGTCGTCGACGACGAAAGCCGCCCAGAATGACGACGTAGCCAATGGATCGAATCCACTGCCCCCGTGGCTGCCAGCTGATATCGCCTCGTCGGACTCCATCGATCCGATCTATGTTGTGTGTCGACTCGGAAACGACTCCCAGATCGCAGTCAAACGACTGAAGGAGCTGGGCCTGGACCGTGGAGGCGAAAGAGTCGTGGCGGATATCCGGGGTGGATTGCGCGCCTGGCGCGAACAGGTTGACCCTGAGTGGCCAGAATATTAACGACATAACCGTATCTATATGTACATAGCCAGGCAAAACCATACAAAACCGCAAATCGCAAACCACAAACCTCATGAAACATAACATGCCAATAATCCAGTCATATCATAAACCTCATGAAAAACTCATCTCACAGAAACAGGCGCCTCCTCCAACCAAGCCCAGTCCACAGTCACGCGCCCCAGATCCAAATCCGCCAACTTCTTAAAAACCGCCCGACTCACATCCAGATCCTTGACGGCACATCCGGTACCTAACAGCTTATAATTAGTCCCACAGCCACCATTAATCCCAGCGAGGAAAATAGCACCAAAGCAAAGAGGGAAAAAGAAAAGAAAGGAATACATACACCGATCCACAACCGTAGCATCAACACTCGCCTCCCCCCTCTTCAACCTCACCTTCATCCCACACAGCGGATTCGCATTCGGATTCGACCCCGTCGACGCAGCATCAAAGAGAACATGCGACACCGCGCAGATCAAGTCCGAATTGGAACTGGTTATTCCGCATGAGCCCAGCGCCGGATCGTAGTATGTCAGGTCGCCTGTGTAGGGCCCTCCGTTGGTTGTGGGCAGGGGCAGGTTTTGTTTGCTTTTGAGGTTCAGGCCAGAATCTTAGTATGGCTGGAATTTTGGAGTCTGTGTAGTAGGTCAGAGGGAGACTTACGAATGCCGGGTTAGACCGACTGCGAGACCGATTATCAGGGCCAGGAGGAGTATGGCGATTGCGATTGAGAGGAGGACAAGGCGTTTTTTCTTCCAGGGAGTTGGGTCCATTTGGCTGGAGGCCATTTCGGGGGTTGAGGGTGGGGTTTGAGCTGGTCAATTGTTGGTGCTGCTGGAACTGTTGGAGCTGGTTGTGGTGGTGGAGGCACGGGTTTGCGTTTGGGGATGCCTGTGGGTAGGTGGTCCGGGGTAGACATTCTTAAGGGCTCGATGTTGTATACATCCGGGGTTGGAGGTGGATAGGTGGAATTGTAGATAGGCAATGGGTTGTGGGGGAGGGATCGATTGCTTTGTTTCGTTTCATCTCCGGTTGTTTGTTCAGGGGTAAAGGTGACTCTTGGCGGGTTCTTTGGTTTAATTAATGCATGGTGTTATTGAATTGGGCGCTTGTGTAGCTTTGCATGGGCGTAGTGTTCTGGATGTGTTGTTGGCATGTTTGTGTGCCTGAGGGGATTCATGTGAACTTGGGCGTAGGAATGAGTAGCTATACGATTTGTTTCTAGAACTGAGGAAGCTTTATTACCAAATGTCTTGGTTGTGATGATATTCGAGATCGAAACCATAGGGAGCTTATCCTGGTACCACATTTAACCAGATTGAGTTTAGAAGGAATATGACGGCGATAGCGACGAGTTATATGGAACGAACATAATTCGATTGATAACTAAGTTAACTAGTTAGTTAGTTGGTTAACTCCGGTCTGGCTCTGACTAATGTATTTTAATGCTTGGTTGTTGGTATGATAAATCTATGGAGATTTTACAATCATCAGTCCGATGATGTTTTCTCATAGTACGCCGAGAACAGTCTTAATTCTGCCGGGTTATGCTTGACACCGAACTCCAGATTTTGATATCAGGTGCTTTCCACATATTCTCGTCAATTCTCCTCTGTATAGTATCTGGTAGTCATAAACATGCACAATGACGCAGATATCGCTCTTCCCCAGACTTCCCGATGTCGCTTTATGTGGGGACAGCATCCTTCCTCACCGTTCACAGAAGAAGAATGTTCTTGGCGCCGATCGTCGTCCGCGGCCTCCTCTCGGCTCAAAGCCTTACTCCATCCCCACGTGGAGTCAACATGAATTTTTTGACTTTCATCCTCGCTCGTTGAAGACCTCTGCTATCCCCGCTCATTCTTTCCAACTGGAACCGGCGACATACCTCTCGCACTGCGCGGCGGACTTGGGATAGTTGCATGGGAAAATCGCTTCACGGCAGTCATCCGGTCACGTGCTCCAAAACGGAAGTGATCCATGAGGGGTTTCTGATCGGCATTTTCATGATCCTAATTGCCGGGAGTTGGAAAGGGAACAGAGAGTGTGTCTAGTAGAGCACGACGCGACTCAACATGTCGCAACGCAGCTCCGAGGATTCGCAATGGGCGCTGCCAGAGGAGCCGGAGGCCAAGGCAGAGAATAAACAAAAGAAAGGCCTCCTGACGAAACTGAAATCAGGTTGGAATAGTCTGGACCTGGATATGCCGACTGTTCTCCTGATGGTGAAGTAAGAACTCATAATAGCTATCCTGTATATGAGCTAATCATTGTATAGAGGCGCTATTCCACCGACAATTGCTCTGGCGATGTAAGACCTTGGTGAAACAGCTTGTCGATTAGGTAACTAACATCAACCCAGCTTTCAGGCCGATTCGGTGGCCTCCAGATTCAATACGGTGGGATACCTCATGGCCATCATATCGGTCCTGGGCTTTTCAATCCAGCCTCGCGCCAAGTTTATCCAGATGGTGGTCCTTGACGTATTGGCCGTGTGTGTGGCATCCGCTGTTACCCTGCTCATGATGTACTCGTGTGTAAAAGCACGGCAGCACACGGAGGTGGTGTCTAGCGCAGGTGAAAGTATTGTCAACACGCCGTATAACCAGTCGGCGTCGGCTGTGAGCGGTGTCTGGTTGTTCTTTCAGATTTACGTTGTCCATTCGTTTCGGGCCAAGTTCCAGCAGTTCCAGTTTCCGGTTATCATCTACTCGATTGTGGCCAACGTAACTTTCAGTTATGCTCCCCGCATGACGACAATGGATGCTGCTATATCTATGGTCACGAAATTGCTTGAGGCATGCCTGGTAGGCTTGGCCCTGGCTACTGGCGTATGCCTATTCATCTATCCCGTCACTTCGCGGACGGTGGTGTTCAAGCAGATGGCCGGCTATATGGGATGCCTGCGCGGGGCTCTTCAAGCTCATACAGTCTACTTCGAGTCTCTGGAAGAGAGTGACATGTTTGGTAGAGCAGAAACATATGATTCAAAGGTAGAAAAAATCACCAAGGACGGCAAGGTGTACAGCCCAGAGGCACAAGCCATCCGGACAGCAGTGCAGAAAATCACCGAGATTCATGGTAAGCTTCACGGGGATTTGACCTTCGCCAAGCGTGAGGTCGCGTTCGGCAATCTCGGGCCCGATGATCTTCAAGCGATTTTTCGAAACCTTCGACAAGTCATGATCCCTGTCGTGGGTTTGAGCTTTACGGTGGACTTGTTCCAGCGCCTATCTGAATATAATAAATGGAATGCGCCCCTCGATCCCACGGCGACTGATATACCGGATCTGGTACGTCATCGCGTGGTCCAAGAATGGAACGATATCATGCGGGCGGTGCATGACCCGTTCAAGTCTATGATCCAGGCGATAGACGAGGGTCTCCAGCATATCACATTTGTGCTCAAACTGGCAAAGCCACCGAAGAAGAATGCTACTGCTACGAATGGTGAGACGTCATCGAGTGGTGTGGAAGATGTTGAGGCTTCGGCGGTACCGTCTCCGGGCGACGAAAAGTTCGCAGCCCATCTTGAACAGAGACTTCGTGACTTCAAGGTTGCTAAGCGGATTGCCCTTCGAACATGGAGTGAAGAAAAGGGAATTAAACTGCCGAAAGACTTTTTCGATCGCCCTACGGATGACATGGAAGACATCAGCTATGGCAATCCATTCATTGGCCGAGAGCGGAGTCAGCGACAGTTGTACTTGTTCCTCTATGTAAGTGCCTTGCTCCTAGTGCCGCTTGGTTGTTACCAGATGCTGACAACGACTAGATGGAGCAGCTGCTCAGCTCAACCGGCCAGACGGTACTTGACTTTGTAAAGTTCGCGGACGACAAACGTGAAAGTGGAAAGCTTTCAAGACGCCACCTGATTATACCGGGCTGGAAGCGTTTGCGAAAATGGGCCACAAGTTTACTCAAGGCGGAAGACACACACGAAAATGATAACCTGGGCGACATCAACGCTCAGAATAATATTCTTCAGTTGGGTGAAGCTTACAAACGGAAGAAGGACCCAGAGCACCTGCGGCCTGAGACCACTTTTCAAAAAATAGGTGATAAGGTCAGGCTCATTCCTGCGATGTTCCGCACTCAAGAGTCGGCCTACGGTTTCCGGGTTGCGTGCGCCACTATGACCATCGCCATTGTTGGCCTCCTTCACGATACCCAGGGCTTCTTCATTAAGCAACGCTTTATTTGGGCCATGATCATGGTTAATCTCAGCATGAGCCCTACCTCTGGACAGAGTATATTCGGCTTTGTGCTCCGTATACTTGGCACTGTATTGGCCATGGTTCTCAGCTTTTTGAGCTGGTACATCCCCGGGAAACAGACACCCGGAATTATTGTTTTCTTCTTCATATTTTTATCGTGCGTTTTCTATGTGCCAATCAAGCTATTCCGCTTCCGAATCATTGGCATCATCACCATTATCTCAACGTCTATGATAGTTGGGTATGAACTCCAGGTTCGCAAAGTCGGTGAGCAAGTCGCAACCTCGAACGGCCAGTCATACTACCCCATCTATCTCCTTGCGCCCTATCGATTGGCAACGGTGACCGGTGGCATTGCCGTGGCGTTTTTCTGGACATTCTTTCCGTATCCTATTTCGGAACACTCCGTGCTGCGTCAAAGCTTGGGTGCCTCTTTGTACCTTCTGGCCAATTACTACTCGCTCATCCACGAGACCGTGTCGGCACGAGTGCGCGGTGAGGTAGGTGATATGGCGCTCAAGACGTCGGCGGGGCGCAAGCTTTTGAAGTCCCGTAACCAGGTGTTTTCCAAGCAGATGTTGATGTTGAATAACCTCCGAACCTACTCCGAGTTCCTCAAATGGGAGGTGCCGATTGGTGGCCGATTCCCCAAGAAGCAGTACGATTCCATTATAGCATGTATCGAAAAGTAGGCATTACTCATTCCTTCAATATTGCCCCGTGAGCTAACCCTTCGATAGCATCGTGAGTTACCTGAGTCTTCTGGGATATGCTTCAGACACGCTGTTGCATATGGGTGATGATGAAGAATCCAACTCTGTCTGGCTGCATGATTTCAAACGGCTGGTTGCCAGTGCAGGCGTCACGAGCCATGAGATCACCACAGTGCTATGCCTTCTCTCTGCCAGTATCACCGATCAGAGGCCTCTTCCCCCTTACCTAAAGACACCCAGACCGTACAGCTTTACCAAAAGGCTCGAAGCAATGGACAAGGATATTCTAAGTCTCAAACATATCGCGGAGCCAGGTTTTGCTACCTTTGCAGTTTTACAAATCTCCACACGATGCATAGGTGGTGATGTGGAGAGACTTATGAAGTGAGTGAAGCCGCCCGCGTTGCAGTGATACAGCGACTAATTCGGAGCAGGGACGTGAAGAAGTTGGTTGGAGAACTTGATTTCTCATTCCATGCGGTCAGCACAGTGCAGAGTGCAAGGTCGTCTGCTGAGATGTCGCGCTTTTCGCGCGTGCCCGAGCGGGACAAGTTCGAGTAGCTGGCAAAGGACCGACAATAGAGTAAATATAGAGAGCGATTGTATTGTTTTAATCATCAAGAGATGCCCTGATGGATCTACTATCTTCAGCCATTGAACACGGGCGCAACTGCCATCGACGTGGACAATGGCTATCTACGACTTCAAGAATAAGAATCCAAGATTTATCTTTCATATAATACAAGAACATGATTCATTTACGTCGACTTTGACGGAGTATCGAACGAGATAGACATAACGTGCAGTACATCAAGGTCATTCAATGGGGCGTATAACTCGCTCAACATGGCTCATTCGATTTTGAACTGAACGGCGTTCGACTCGAAATCACCCCGGTTTGCGTCTGAAAGTTGTTCAAGTTTGTCATGGACGCCACTCACAGGAGTTTCCCACACCGCATGCCACCTCCCATGGGCACGGATCGAGAAGTCATGTCCAGACTGGAGAGGCATAGGGGGGAGAGTCACAACGGTGTCAACCGTGCTCTCTGGAGCAATTTCAAGCAAGTCATCTGCGGAGGGAGGGAGCTTGCGGGAGATCTTGATGGTGTCAAGGGGGACAGTCTGGCCATCTGTTTCATCCTGCACTTGGAAAACCCCGAGGATGCCGGCTTTTGGGTCGAACGGAGTACCCCATTTGAGCATCGTCACTGGCTCATTGGAAGGGTTTTGGATAGATGCTTTGACAGACACAGCCGTCTGCTGGGACGACGCTTGGTCGATTGAAACCAGCTGCGGCGCGAGAAGGACTTGGAGAGCTACAGCTGCGCCCATCATTATTGAGGAGATGAAGGATTCAGTGGGAACAAATTAGGGGAGCAGGGAGAGGGTGACGTGGAGAAAGTGCAGGGAAGACAGCGGCATTTCACAGCCGGGAAGTTATACTGCAGGCAGCCATTCGCCACCTGCGCAAAAGCCAGCCTCGCATCTGTTTCAACTAAATGTCGTCACGGCACTCGCAATGAAACCCAAGTTGCGCGATCGGCGATTTATTTTACTCCCGCGCCAATGATCGGAAGAGAAACCACAAGCCAAGCCTGCGTGGCGTGGTGTAGGTATGAGGGGTATTCTCATTCTCATGACTAGGGGAAGAAAACTCCCTGCATCCGAGGCTGCAGGGTTTCTGCCTGGCAATTTATTTGCAATCTGTTAGAAACTCTTGGGTAGCATCCTCGGTGAATCATCTGTGGGGTGGACTGTGCGCTAAGCATCTGGGCGTTGCTTATCCCGAGGCCAAGAAATAACTCGACTAACACCATCTTGATGTGTATCCTGACTCGATATACCGGTGATTCACTTACTTTCTCAGGCTGAAGATCTTCACCGCGACAGGAACATGGCTCGAGAGCCGGACAATAGCCAAGACTCGGGAGACCGGCGGCATAGCGACTGATCTGCTGAGACCAGATCCAACGGCCCCATCCTTATCGGTGGAGGCGAGCAGATCATATACTGAAACAGACAAAACACTGTCTTCCGGCCTCCGCCGGGCCAAGTCACCGAAATCAGCTTAGGACGAAAGAAAGAAGCCTTCACTTGTGATCTTGTCTCTCTATCTTGAAGATGTGAGGACCAGTTTTACCTTCGCCAAGAGATCCGTGATATTAAACAATGCAGCTTCGGATACTACCTTCTCTTTACAGCGAGGAATACCGGAGCTATACCCGGGACGAGGCCTGGAAAAGTGCATAATGACTATTATGAAGGCCATCAGAGAAGAAGAACCCGAGGGTATAAAAGCCCTTGTTATCCAGCAGCTCTTCACTTAGGATTCAAGGCGATTTAAGACAATCTTGTTCAGTATCTTCCACATTTCAACTTTCGTTCTACGGCTCCTCGTTCCAAAACCACCAGAATGCGTGTCACTGCTCTCTCTACCGCAATCTTCGCGTTGGCTTCCACTGCTGTGGCGGCGCCAACCGCTGGGAGCTCGTCTCCTGGTCTTGAAGTCAAGCTGACCCAGATCGACAACACTCGCGTGAAGGCGGTTGTCAAGAATACCGGCAGCGAGGCTGTGTCCTTCGTCCACCTGAACTTCTTCAAGGACGCTGGCCCTGTCAAGAAGGTTTCCATCTACCGTGGCCGTACGTTTTCCTTGACCACATCGGGCATGAATGCCAATAACGCTTACTAACATTCCTCCAGAGGATGAGGTCCAGTTCGAGGGTATCCAGCGCCGCCTGAAGAGCAGTGGCCTCACTAAGGACGCTGTCACTTCCCTCGCTGCCGGTGAGACCCTGGAAGATGAGTTCGATATCGCCTCCACCAGCGATCTGGCTACCGGCGGCCCCGTTTCCATCCGCAGCCACGGATTCGTTCCCATTGTTGTGGACGGCAAGATCACCGGCTACATCCCCTACAAGTCCAACGACTTGACCGTCAATGTTGACGGTGGCAAGGCCTCCAAGGTCGTCAAGGCGCTGTCGCAGCTCACTCGCCGCACCAAGGTCACCGACTGCCAGGGTGATGCCGAGTCTGCGTTGACCACTGCCCTGTCCAACGCCGCTAAGCTGGCTAACCAGGCTGCCGAAGCCGCCGAGTCTGGTGATGCCTCCAAGTTTGAGGAGTACTTCAAGACCACCGACCAACAGACCCGCACAACTGTTGCCGAGCGCCTGCGCGCTGTCGCTAAGGAGGCCAGCTCCACCTCCGGCGGCTCTACCACGTACCACTGCAGCGACCCCTACGGCTACTGTGAGCCGAACGTTCTGGCTTACACCCTGCCCTCAAAGAACGAGATCGCTAACTGCGATATCTACTACTCTGAGCTTCCTCCCCTGGCTCAGAAGTGCCACGCCCAGGACCAGGCCACCACCACTCTTCACGAGTTCACTCACGCCCCTGGAGTCTACCAGCCTGGCACGGATGACTTGGGCTACGGCTATGACGCCGCTACTCAGCTGAGCGCCCAGGATGCGTTGAACAACGCTGATTCCTATGCCTTGTACGCGAATGGTAAGCATGCCCCGACGATATGAATTGCTGCGAACAGCTGCTAACTGATAATAGCCATCGAACTCAAGTGCTAAATGCGGAATGATACCCCCATATACTCTGCTCCGCAGAGGCTGTACATACTCCTATATTATAGGTTAGAGTGGCGTGTCTGTGACATGCACGTTTGAAATGATAGCTTATTATGATTATATCTCAATGTCCTATGTTTGATCAATCGTCACCTTCGTTAATGCATTGACTTGAGGGCATTATCGACTCGCATAGTATGTCTCCGACAAGACGGATGAAAGTTAGACAGTAAATGCGAGTAAAGGCTATCTTGTTTGTCTGTCCCACTATAACCTAGCTACTTCCATCTATCGTAATCCGGAATAATCTCCTCAAAGTACCTCTCCGTAACACTTCTGAACCCAACCTCAGGCGCCCCAACAGACCACGGCCTTCCATTCCCACTAGCAAAAAGGGAAAAACTGGCCCCTTCAAAGACAAACCAGCCCGGCGGCGCAAAAGCCAACCACTTCGACTCAATAGACGCCAGCCAGTGCACCCGCGAGTCGCCCACACTGTACCCAAAATGATAATGCAGCGGCTCAGCTCGAATATGCAGCACAACACAATCCCTCCCCGATGCATCGAGCGCCACCTCATTATACTGTCTCAATCAGCACCGCACCCACCATTAGCCAAAGGGACCATTCATACCTCAACCGTCGCGTTCCTCAAAAGCTGCGTATAAACACACATACCAGTCCCATTCGCACATCCCCGGACCCCAATGTCCTGATGCTGAAACTCACTCAAATAAACACTAATCCCCACCGTCTCCCCACTCCGCAGATCAGACATGATGGGAAGCAACTCCGCGCTAAACGTCATATTCAACGACGTCTGCTTCCGCAGAATAGCCGCCGGGACATCCCTCTCGCTGAGGGAGTACACGTTCGGTCGAAAGACTACACCCCCCTGATCCCCGAGCACAACGTTCTGCGTGTACGGCGTCCGAAGCTGGTACCACCCGTTCCCAAGCACAGATCCGTCGAATCGATCAACCCAGGTTTCTTGGGGGTTGCTTTGGTCAACCACGCCACCGAAGGATTCGCTCAGGAGAACTGGTCGCCCGTCGTTGATGACAGGCCACCCGTCCTTCCAGGTCACAGGAGAGAGGAAGGTCTCCCGCCCTAACGGTGACGACCCGTTGACCTTCCTCCGGGCTATGTACACAGCATACGAGTCCCCGTCGGCGGTGTCGAAAATAGTAGCATGCCCGGTCGACTGCACGGTCAGGTTATCGAATCCATACGCTCCGTTGAACAGAAGCGGGTTGTCCGGGTTGGAAGTCCATGGACCCTGCGGCGATCGTGATCGTGCGATGCTCGCGCGGTGGAGATCGTCTGTTCCGCCTATTCATACATTATTATACTCTATAATCAGCACATACCCATTCACAGCACATGCCCCCTCAAACAAAACCCACTTCAAATAATCAGAAAGAAGATAATACCCTCAGCAATAAGCAAATAATACCAACCCCCCCTCATAAACATCTTCGGGCCCTCCGGCCTGGCACTAGCATCATGTGGCATCGTCCCGTTCCACAAGGACCGGTACTCATCTACACAATCCCCAGTGCAAAGATTAACTTGGCATTGATAAATGCCCCAGATCCCGGTTTCCTTGCTATCCGGCGCCATCAGGTTCAGATAGACGTCACCGGAGACAGGGTCCTGGAACAAAGACGGGTCGATGCCCCATGGCTCGGCCCAGACGGGGTCACTCCAGGTTTCTAGATCGGGGGACGAGATCCATGTGATGCGCGGCCAGACTTTGGCGATCGGGTCGTAGGTCCAGCGCGTCATACTGGATATGTAGAAGGTGTTGTTTATGTAGGATAGGGTTGGGGCCCAGGTTCCTTTTTTTTTTTTTTGTTTTTTCGCGTTAGGGTTAGTGTCTGGGATGGTGTGGGATGCTGGCTTACCGCCGCCTGTTGGGGTCCCGTAGAGGGCTAGTTGGGATGGTTTTGTTAGGGCATGTGAGTGGAGGGTCCAGTTGGCTAGGTCTGTGGATTTGTAGATAGGGAGGCCGGGGAAGTACTCGAAGGAGGATGTTGTGAGGTAGTATTCGTTGTTGAGGCGCAGGATGGAGGGGTCAGGATTCCAGCCTGGGAGGATTGGGTTCTTGATTGCGGTTATGGGGAGAATGAGGGTTAGGAGACTGGATAGCTTGAGTAGGGGGGTCATGCTTGTGGTTGGGGTGGTTGGCGAATGTATGGATGTTGTCGTTGGCCTTTTGGGTGAGGGCCTTGGGTGTCTTTTATGGTGTTTGACTGAGCGGGTGAGGTCCGGGAGATCCTCCGAGGTTCCATACTAGTAGAGAGTAGGTCTAAAGTCAACAAATAGTATCTCTATATTTTTGTTTCTAGGGTTGCTTTCTCTTTTACTTGTAGTTACACTATAGGGTTGCTCATGGTCAGGAGTATGTACTTGGATACGCCCAATGGGTTGATCTATCTGCTTTATGGAGTAACATGACGGGGAATATATTATTGGAGGAGGATCATATTAAAATATACGAATGAATAAAGGCAGTCTCGCTTCTTCTGACATAAATAACTCGTGTATAATTGGTAAGCGTCTTGGCTGATCGAGGGCCCCGGAGGCGGATGATAAGAAGACCGCCTGACTGATGTTGGAGATGTGAAGCTATTGGCTTTCCAGCCCATCTCGGGACCGGGGTGAGCCATGATAGTTCGCATGAGGGCTTGGAAACTCGGCGATAGATGAATCTTATGAAAAGGTGGAGCAGAGACAGCCGATGATCCCGTCGGGGTCCCAAATAGGAACTTGTAGGATGTAACTCTATGCTGGGAAAAGCGCCCCAAAATTATGATGCCTAATGGGCCATCTTACATAAAGAGACTCACTCATAGGAAAAGCTAACTCATCTCCAAAACTCACCACAACCAGGAATTCCAGAAACCACAACCGAAATGCCCACTCGACCAACAATCTCCATCCTCCCTGCATCCCCAGAAGATGCGCCCTCACTAACTCGCGTCCACGGCGATGCATTCCGAGACTGCATGCTCAACGACCTCATGTTTGGTCCTCCGACAGAGGAGAACCTGAAGGGGTTCGCAGGCGAGCTAGCGGAACTCATCGCCAGCGATATAACAGCAAGATTCGCGAAAGCCGTCGACAACGACACGAATAAGATCGTAGGCTGGAGCTGGTGGAATTTGTATCCCGATCGCGACTCGCGATCGGGAGGCTCGCAAGCTCTCGCAGAGAAGCTTGGTGCCCCGCCTGAGTCTGCTATCAGTCCTGAGGCGTATAAGGAGTATTTCCAGGGGGCGGCCGCGAGACAGGAGAAATGGATTGGTGGGCGGCCTTTTGCTTGTGAGTTTACTCTTTCTTCTTTTTCATGGATATTGTGTTATTTCATCTGCTGGAAGGGTTTCAAGAAATCTACATTTATGTGCTGACACTTGACTGCAGTTCTAAGAGTCCTTGTCGTTCTCCCAGAGTACCAGAGGAAGGGGATTGGTGCGAATCTTGTGGCAATGGGGCTGGAAGAGGCTGCAACTTGTAACCTGCCGGTCTGGTTGGAATCTTCTGAAGTGGGCTATGATTTATACAAGAAGCTGGGCTTCAAGGATCTCAACGATAGCATTGTTATTGACTTGGCCAAGTACGGAGAGTCGGGAATATCGACTACGGCGTGTATGTGGTTGGAGACTGGGAACCATTGAACAGAAGCTGCATTGGAGTATCTGATATGGTGGTGAATCGTTTTGAATCATTTTAAAGCCGAGTTATAGGCAGCGTAAGCTGTCATCCTCTTTGTATCAAATTTCGTGGCTATGTCAAACTATATACAGCTATGGGAAGAATAGCAGTTGTGGTATAAGAAGCTGAGAGCAAACCAAAACGCGACGGAAAGGATAAAAGAGAATGAAAATATTGCAGCCATCATACATCTAACCTCAAGTCAATGCACATTAAAATCATCAAACTTAGTGGGAGTATCACTAAGTAGCCCTGGGATTGACCGCCTGGTCTAGTCATAAGGGTGGACTTTTGATGTAACTATCAACATAGGACATCCCGTAGGGTGGCATGTTTGTGAATCATCTCCATCATTTGCGTCTGGTTGAGCGGCTTGGGAAGGTAATCGTCCATGCCAGCCGATATACACTTTTCCCGATCACCGAACATAGCATGAGCCGTGAGGGCGATGATTGGAGTGTGTGGAAGTGTATGGACCTTCTCGTAGTCTCGGATTCTAAGAGTCGATTCAAACCCACCCATGACCGGCATTTGCACGTCCATCAATATTACATCGTACTGCTTGTGGCGAAACTCATCCAGGGCCTCTTGTCCGTTCGAGACGACTGTCACGTTGTGGTGATACCTCTGCATTACTTTGAGAGCTACCTTCTGGTTGACCTCGTTGTCCTCAGCAAGTAAAATGGCCAAAGGGCGCGTTTCATCCGACGAACGGCGAGAAGGGCGACCTTCCAGCGCGGGAAGGATACCGTTTACTAGTTCAATCGGACTACAGGGTGTTGTCACATAGGATGTGATGCCCAGATCTAAAGCAGATTTCATGGCCACTGACACCACGGGACAGACTAGCACGGCAGGGAGAGTCTTGAACCGGTCGAAATCTCGTAGCTGGGATACAGAGTCCATGGTTGGAGCGATCAAGACATCGTATTGCCGACGAATATCTTTACCGTGCTGAGCAACGGTTTCTGTCGGTGCAGCGCCATCCTCAAGCTTCACGACATCCACATGAAGGCCCATTTGTTGCAGTCTTTGTTGAATCCGTTTTGATTCTTCGTTGCAATGATCATTAGCTTTCTCGACAAACAAGACCCGACAGCCCTTGTATGGTATGACATATTTGGCAATGTCCTTGACAGGGGGATCTAAGGATGTAAAGGCGCAGGTGAAGTGGAAGGTACTCCCGACACCCACGGCCGAGGTGACCCATATATCTCCTCCCATGAGGTTGACCAGTTTCTTCGATATTGACAAGCCCAGACCAGTGCCACCGAACTTTCGTGTCATGGAGCCATCGGCCTGCTGAAACTTGTCGAATATCAAATCCAGTTTGCTCTTGTCAATGCCAATTCCTGTATCTGAGACCGAGAACTCGAGTAAATACTTGCCCGGAGGGCAGGTTGGTGCCGCCTCCTTGATCGTAAGCCGGATTTGCCCCGTCTCGGTGAATTTGATCGCATTCCCGATGAGGTTCAGAATAATCTGCCTTAGACGGAAGGCATCGCCGATCACATAGTCTCGCACGGAGTTGTTTATGTGGTATGTAAGATGGAGGCTTCTCTCACTGGCTTCAACGGCAAGGATTTTGAGGGCCTTGAAAACGGTCTGTCCCAAGCTGAACGGAACAGACTCGATCTTCATATGGTTGGCTTCTATTTTCGAAATGTCGAGAATATCGTCGATAATCACCAAAAGGCTGTTTCCCAGGTTATGGACCACGTTCAGCATTTCTCGAGTTGGCGGAGGCAAATCGTCGGTATCAAGGGCTAGTTGAGTCATGCCAATAATTCCGTTCATGGGCGTCCGAATCTCATGGCTCATATTGGCTAAGAACTCTGACTTACTTTGGTTGGCTAGTTCGGCAGCCTCTCTAGCTGCAGTGTTCCTCTGGATGCTGTCGCGTAGGTTGGATATCATTTTGTTAATCTTTTGCTTTAGCTCGTCCATTTCGCCGGAGGCGCTGACAGTGATCAGTTTGCTAAAGTCGCCATCAGTGGCTGCATTGGTGATTTGTCCAAAGGCCCGGACCTGCGACGTGAGATTGTCTGCCATCATGTTGACGTTGTCTGTCAGGGCTTTCCACTCTCCTTCAACGTTGGCAACAACAGCCTGCCCACCAAGGGTTCCATCGACGCCAACTTCACGGGCAACTTTGCAAACTTCAGAGGCAAACTGGTTCAGCTGGCCGACCATCCCGTTGATAGTATCCTTGAGGCTTAAGATTTCCCCATTCACGTTGGCAGTGATGCGTTTGCTGAGATCACCACGAGCTACAGCCGTGGTCACATCCGCAATTTCTCTGACTTGGTTTGTGAGATTCATTGCCATCCTGTTAACACTTTCAGTTAGATCCTTCCAGACACCCTCAACTCCGTGGACGGTCGCCTGGCCTCCTAAAACGCCATCCGTCCCCACTTCTCTGGCAATCTTTGTCACCTCCTGAGCGAACTGGCGGAGCTGGTCGACCATTGAGTTGATAATATTCTTTAGAGCCAGTATCTCTCCTTTACAGTCTGCCCGAACCTTTTGAGTAAGATCGCCATTTGCAACGGCAGTGGTCACGGTTGCAATGTCCCTGACCTGCATAGTCAGATTGTTGGCCATGGCATTGACGTTCGTTGTAAGCTCATTCCACATTCCTTGAGTACCATATACCCGCGCTTGCCCACCAAGAACCCCTTCAATGCCCACATCTCGGGCGACACGAATAACCTCAGTGGCAAACGTACGGAGCTGGTCTACCATCGTGTTAAAAGTATTCTGTAGCAGAAAGATTTCACCCTTGGCAGGCCGTTCGATCTTCTGGCTCAGGTCCCCGTGGGCCACCGCCGTGGTGACCACTGCAATCTCTCGAACCTGGTTCGTCAGGTTCAGCGCCATGGTGTTGACATTATCGGTCACTTCTCTCCATACGCCGTGCATCCCAGATACCTGAGCCTGACCACCGAGAATACCCTCGGTCCCCACTTCCCATGCTACTCTTGAGACCTCACTGGCGAAAACCCGCAGCTGATCAAGCATGGCATTCATTGTGACCTTGAAGGTGATGATATCCGAGTCCATCTCCAACGGGTGAATCGGGACTTTGGTGGATAGGTCTCCATTGGCAACTTTGGTAATGACCTTTGCGATCTCTTGTAAGGCTGTTTGAAACGCTTTATTCATCTGCTGATGTTTCCGAAGATCCACCTCGTGGTCGGGATGCTTGTTTGCTGCGCGGTGGCGTAGCAGTTCACGGAAAACGCTCGAAACGACTTCCCGTGGCAGCTTGATTTCGTCTTTCTGTTCATCGAGAGCCCGTTTTACAAGAGAATAGTGATCATCATTCGCGAATCCATACTCAGGGTTATGATCCACTTGACGACTGGCCGGGATGTCATCTAGCCTAAAACCCTGCTTAGCCTTGTGATGTGGCAATCTGGTTGAAATAAATATCATGCACATACCATGCAAACTTCCGCTTTCGGGTCTGAGAACTTATGATCATCTCAGTATGCTGCCCACACAGTGTGGATTGGGGTAGGTATCCATTCTCTGAATGAGGTGGCGATATGTCACCCTCTGCTGTACTGTTCTGAAGAAACTGAATATGGCCTATGAAGACCTGCAGCTGTCTCTCAAACGCTACCTTTGCATCGCTTGGCTCCCCTGGTAACTGAACGAGCAAATGGTACAATTCCTCCGTTGGGGAGTCCAATGGTTGACAAGGACTTGAATCATAAATGCCAGATGGTAAGGCACATTCTAAACCGGCAGCTGCAGCCCTGAAGGCTTGCTCAACCGCTGCCATGGTCTTCGACTTGGGGTTAGACCGCTAATGACGGGTCTTGTTGTATTTAGAACGGAGTACACTTTCCATGCATTGTCAAGACAATGCTATAATTAAACAGGGCGGGTGCGAGAATCTATGTCTGCTTGAACCAACTTGAAAAACTTTGTGAAGTCAGATGCACTCCCTACGGTCAGCAGGTCAGCCTTCTGGAGATCGACAATAGCGACTACAACAGAATAAACATTAATTTAGCGAAAGCCCCATATATTCATCATGAGATGAGGTGTAGCGATTTGCCTCGGGGGCGACAAGGACAAGGACCCTAAAGACTAGGGGTACCATGGAAAGGGCCTAGTGAAAGCTTCGCATCCAAGGGCGAGCGCGGACTTTCAGAGAAATCATAAACACAAACACGAGGTGATTGGCTTAAAGGCAATCGGAATCTTTAGCCCTACATTTCCATAGCAGGGAGAAACGCCGTAGAGGCTAGACCGAGGGCATTATTGAGGTGATGAGGAAGAGGGCTTGACGTTCTCTGGTTCATCACCGCAGTGTTAGGCACATGATTGGCCGAGCCCCAGACCCTTGGAATGGAAACAGTCATTGACCACCCCATGGTCCCCTAAAACTCTCGATTATCGTGATCCATAGCAAGGGTTGAACTGGCCCCAGGGCCTTTCTCCCTCCGCCGGTTCTAGAACCTGGTCATCACCCCATCCCCGCCTTCGCCCGGACCGTTGATGACCTCATTGCGCCTCCCATGCGGCCGACAATGGTATTTATTCAACTAGCGTAGCCTTTGTGGCTTCTAAAGGATTTTTCTGGGCCGTCGTAATTGCAATCTGTCCTATGTTTCTTTACTCCTCGTTGCTGTGGAATCCATGGGATATTGCTGGACCGAGAACCTACGAAGATGATTCTTGAGTTTATTATCAAGATTCGATACAGTAATTCCATGGCCTCGGAAACCCTAGGCTTGTGACCTCCCCATGGGGGACTATAGGTATCCTGGGGATGACTACCACCCAATTGAGATCGCCAGACAATCCAAGCATCGGGCTTACATATTCTCAAACGAGGATAATTTGCGTTGGCCCCTCTAGGTTCTTTGAGGATGTACCCGAAGCTAACATCGAACCGGATGAAGAATCCGAGATGCCTCCTCCTGGCCCGTGGCGTCACTAGGCTTCT